GAACCAAACCAAACAGTCATAGATGAACACAGGACAGACTCAATGATGGCCAAGCAGAACTGTGTGAGCAGCTCCTGTGGCAGGTTGAACTTCCTTATCTGGTGAAAGAAATACAGCCTCTGCTGGGCCTTTTTTTTACAATAGAGTCGATGTGAGTGTCCCACGTCAGGTCCTGAGAGATGGTGGTGCCCAGGAACTTGAATGACTCTACTGCAGCCACAGTGCTGTTCATGATGGTGAGTGGGGGAGAGCAGGGGGTTTTCTCCTGGAGTCCACACTATCATCTCCGCTGTTTTGAGCGTGTTGAGCTCCAGGTTGATAAGACTGCATCAGACAGTCAGCTGCTCAGCCTCTTCTCTGTAAGCAGACTCCTCACCGTCCTGGATGAGGCCGATGACTGTAATATCGTCTGCAAACTTCAGGAGCTTGACAGGGGGGTTTTTAGAAGTGCAGTCATTTGTGTGCAGGGAGAAGAGCAGTGGGGAGAGAACGCAACCCTGAGGGGCACCAGTGCTGATTGCGAGGGGTCCTGGATGTGAGTTTCCCCAGCCTCACTAGCTGCTGCCTGTCTGTCAGGAAGCTGGTAATCCACTGACAGATGGAGGTGGGTACGGAGAGCTGGGTCAGTTTGGCTGAGAGAAGATCAGGCATGATGGTATTGAAGGCTGAACTGAAGTCCATAAATAAGATCATTGCATAAATTCCCAGGTCTGTCGAGGTGTTGCAGGATTTAATGCAGTCCCATGTTGACTGCATCATCCACATACCTGTTTGCTCTGTAGGCAAACTGAAGAGGATCCAGCAAGGGTCCAGTGACGTCCTTCAGGTAGGCCAGGACCAGTCTTTCAAATGACTTCATGACCACAGACGTGAGAGCGACAGGTCTGTAATCATTAAGTCCCGTGCTTTGGTTTTTTTTTGGGGACCAGAATGATAGTGGAGCGTTTGAAGCAGCAGGGAACATCACACAGCTCCAGTGATCTATTGAAGATCTGTATGAAGGCCAGTTGGTCAGTGCAGACTTTTAGACAAATTTGTAGACACTGTCTAGGCCTGAAGTTTTCTTAGTCTTCTGCACAGACCTTAAGCACAGGTTGAATGGTGGGTGAGGGAGGGAGGGGGTTGCAGGAGGGGTAGGTGAATGTGTGAAGTGCAGATCAGAAAGGGTGGGGGAGGGGGGGGTGAGACTGGGCTTTTCAAACCGGCAGTAAAACACATTCAGATCGTGTTTAAGATGCTAGTCATTGGGACATCTAATTGGGCAGTTTTTGGTCAATGTGGACAAGACCTGAAATGTTGTTTACACCAGCTTTCCAGAACCATGAAGTTCAAATATTTGGATTCTTTAAGGTTTAACTAACCAACACCCAGCTAATTTGATTCATTTATATTTAACATGTCATTGGAACGAGCATGAGCTACATGTTACAATGCTTTCCACTGTCTGCTGTTGCTGTTGTAAAATAGAGCAGTTGCTCCTCTGAGGATTTGCTTTTACAGTGGCGTACAGATGAGCTGTTGAAGTAATGATGAAAAGTTTCATTGGAAGTTTTGCATAACTGTGACAAGGGCTAATTTTAGCTGTAAAAAAGGTGAAGACAGAAAAAAAAACTTGAAATGTCTGATGGTGTCGGTGAGCACAGCACCTCGCAAGTGAGTTAGTGTGACGTCTTAAAAAATGTGGTGAATGTAATCTGTATCTATATTAAAAATTTTAATTCTGTCATCATTTACACACCCTTAAGTTGTTCCAAACCTGTATGAATTCCTTTCAAATGTTGAACACAAAATAAGATATTTTGAAGAATGCTGGTAACCAAACAGTTGATGGTAGCCATTAACTTCTGTAGCAAAAAAATATAGTGGAAGTCAATGGCTACCGTCAACTGTTTGGTTACCAACAGTCTTTAAAATATCTTCTTTTGTGTTCAGCAGAACAAAGAAACTCATACAGTGATGACAGAATTTTCATTTTTGGGTGAACTATGCCTTTAAAGCATAGAGGGTGGAAAATGTTGTTTAACATTAAATTGGCCGCTTTTTTAGTGAATTCGTAATTTAATCATTGTGAATCATCGTTGGCTTATGAATAGGTGAATTCAGCAAATTATCATCATGAAAACATAATTTAAATAAAAGAGATATTTTTGAGGTCTCTAACCATTGTTTGAATGTCACCACATCCAGCCCATGTGTATTGCAGCACATTTATACTGGCTTGCATGTTCTCTTTGACAGCATGAGCGATCCTGAGCTCTTGAGAGTAAGACTACAAAAGCATATGCTTCACAGAAAGGTAAACATACTTCACCTGTCACCCCTCAACTGCCCTTCTTCCCATTTTCATTGATAGTGACATTTCCCAGGAAAGTTCCTTGCTGTCACACTTTTAAACAATGCAGCAGAGATGTGTGGTAGAGTGAGTGAACAGCATGGTAGTTACATAAGCACCAGACCGCCCAGTGGGACCTTCTCAACTCCTGCTCAACAGCCTCACTTGTCCATTTTTTAAATTAATTTTAATATTTGTAATTGTCTTTACTGTTATATTTGAATGATTAAATGCATCCTTGTTAAATTATTTATTTCTTTTATAAAAATTAAATAAATAATAAAACAAAAATCTTACTGACTTCAGGCCTTGTAAACAGTAGTGTAAGAATGTAAAAATTGTTTTATTTTATTAAAGATTAAATGAGACAAATATGCTCGACCGCAAGGCAGTTCAAGATATATTATTGTGTACAGCATCTGAAATGTGACTATTTTTGGCATGCTGCAGTATCACTGAACTTTAAGTTTTCTCTTTATAGTATTTAGAATGGTGTGCAATGTTCACCAACAATGAAAATTTGTTGGATGCTGTTTGTTGTACAATTACAATATAACACGACTAATGCTTTCAAGCTTAAAAAAGGAAAAACTGAAAATCTTCTACTGCTTTCAACCACTGCAACTTGAGAATCAAATCAGTTCAATTTGTGAACAAATCGTGGTGACCAGTTTTGTGGATTGAATCAATAATTTAACAAGAACTAAAAATTATTTGTTCACTCATCACTACTGAACATCTTTCTTGAACAATCATGAATGCTCAAGAGAGAGCAAAGGCGGGTGTCAAAATTTTCATTGAATAATGACAGTTTCGCTCTGTTTGAAGCTTGACAGCGCCAGTCCTCATGCACTTTGATTATATCCAGAATGTTCAAAAATCCTTTTGTCTTTCACAGAAGAAAGACTGGCAAACGGGTTTGAAACAACATGAGTAAATGATGTGTGAATAATGCCATTTTTGGGTAAACTATTTTTTAAAGATCTCTGCACCAATCAGAGTACATCTAACCATGTAAAGAGTATTTGGCTACAGATGTCATTAAAGTGTGATGTTTATGATCTAATGTGTTGCTTGTGTTCATATGTCATACCTGATGTATGGTTTTCATTTTCTCTCTATCTTTTGCTCTGTCTCCACTGTAGTTATGTAACTTCCACTGCACCGTCTGATCTCGATCACACTTTCTCTCCAGAGTTTCATCGCTTTCTCTTCTATTTCTTAGTTGCTCCATCTGTCTCTGTTTTTCTCCATTTCTCTATATCTGGGTAATTGGATCCATATTAAACAAGCTCACTGTGATTTATCACAATGGCTTCACTCTGTCAAAAGCAAATGACTTGTGGTGTATCTGAAAACATAAAATTAAGAAATTAAACTTACTGCCATTTTTTAGAAATAAGCAAAACTGAATTTGTTCTGAATTTATAGGCAGCATCTAACTGATAAAGTCCCATTGCAAAAAAAAAAAAATGCAGTGGCATATTAGATGCAATAGCTTTGATATACCATATAACATGGTACTGATTAATCATCACAATCATGTACTGTAGTATTTACTTCAAAACATAGTATTGGGATGGGGCAGTATCTATAGACTGGCCTACAGATACAGTGAGACAGCTCGTGGATGATTTTGGCAGTTGTATAGAAGGCTCTTGTGTTTGATAGTTGGCCAGGACGTGCTGAGGTAAGCTGGGCAGGCCGCATTGCTCGGTGTTTCACACCGTTTTGCAAATCTGCGCTGACAACTTGAGCAGAAACAGCTAATTTAGGAGCCTCTACGCTTTTAGAAGCAGAGCTGACTGGGAGAGAGATAAAGGGAGGGAAAAATGGGAGGAGAAAGGTAGCGTAATCATTGACGTAAGAAAGAGGTTTACAAAAGGATTACCCAGTGATGCTCCTGGGCAGTATTGTAAGATATTTTGTGTGTTTTTTTTTTCAAGCATTATGATTTCCTTTTGCTATTGCTGAAAATGATTTTGAAAATGAACCAAGATCAAATTTATCCATCCATCCATCCATTCTCCAAACTGCTTGTCCCATGTAGGGTTGTGGAAGTTATTTCAGCGCAATTCATTTGTTGTTAACCGATATAGGCTTTCCAAGTTAGAATACACTGCTGATATCAAGAAAGCAGGGTGGCCACTGGCCAATGCTAATATCATTTTTTAGTAAGAAAGAGGTTTACAAAAGGATTACCCAGTGATGCTCCTGGGCAGTATTGTAAGATATTTTGTGTGTTTTTTTTTCAAGCATTATGATTTCCTTTTGCTATTGCTGTGGATTTTGAAAATGAACCAAGATCAAATTTATCCATCCATCCATCCATTCTCCAAACTGCTTGTCCCATGTAGGGTTGTGGAAGTTATTTCAGCGCAATTCATTTGTTGTTAACCGATATAGGCTTTCCAAGTTAGAATACACTGCTGATATCAAGAAAGCAGGGTGGCCACTGGCCAATGCTAATATCATTTTTTTTTTAAGATTTCTGAAAACATGAATGGAAAAAGAGTAAGTTGTTATAATTTGGTGATAGTACAAAATATTATCATTATATTGACATGAAACCAGTGAATCATTGTCTTCAACTTCATTGTGATAAATTCAAAAACACAATCTGCATTTCTACCTGTTCAACGCATTAATTTTTCCCTTTTTCTTTTAGGCATCACTCGTCCTCCCACTACGTCCGCTGCTACCTGCCCCATTGACCAAACTCAAGCGTGGAATCCTACCATGTCTCAACAACCCATTTCTTGGACCTGAAGGCAAAGCGGAGATCAGATTCTTAACATCCCAAATCCAATTCTTATTCCCCATTCAGCTTCTACAAATGGACAGGAACAATCCAGCCTGCATTAAATGAAAGGAAGTAGTAATGTCCATAGCTGGCCATTTAGACAGAAACTGTTATGATACTGAGAAAGTTTGTATAATCAGTTCATTTTTGTCTTTCAATGCTTTAATCCCTCAGAGACTCTGAATATGGACCTTTGAGAGTCCTGACTGGTGTCCAGCAGCTTTTGTTTTCTTTTTCTTTTCTGGTTTGGATGCTTATGTGATACTTCAATGGCTTAAACGCAAGGCTGTTGGGTATTTCAGAAGTGGGTTATTTAATTTTTTTTTCAGTTGCCAAACGCCAATTCCACAGAACTTGGAAAAGGAAAAAACCTCACCAACCCAAATCTCAGCCTTGATTTAAGGTCACTTGGCATCTAGACACAACCTCTGCATTACTTCCACCATTCCTCAAAGACTTTGAAAATGAACGTTTGAGAGATCTGACTGGTATTAGATGCTTTTTGAGACCCAGAAAGCATTCAATCTTCTGGATTAGTTGTGTTTATGATACCTTGAGGTCCAAGATTGTTAGGAATTGCAGAAGTCAAATATAAATATACTCATCATTTTAGATGCCACTTTTAGTGAACTTAAGAAAGGAAAAAACTTCTGCCAACTAGGGCTTGTTGTCACTTTGTAAGGCCACTACAGGGCTTGTAATGCCACTTGGCACCCAGAAACAAGCCCTGCTTGACTTCGAACCTCAAAGACTTTGAATATGAACCTTTGAGAGATCTGACTGGCATTGGATGCTCTTTAAGGTTTTTTTTTTTTGGAGGCCCAGCAAACCTTCAATCTTCTGGATTAGTTGTGTTTAAGATACCTTGAGTCATAAACCCAAGATTGTTAGGAATTTCGGAAATCAAATATATATACTCATCATTTTAGATGACACTGCCACTTCCAGAGAACTTAAGGAAGGAGAAAACTTCCGCCGACTAGGGCTTGTTGGTGCGTCTTGGTCCTGAACCCAAATCCCAACCCCTTTCCCCCCTTTTTTGGCCATTTGGCACTTATTTCTTACCTCCATCTCATCCCGACCTCCACCATTCGCCCCTCACTGGCCACGGCAGTCCTCCCTCCCCGTCCCCGCCCCCACCCTCCCCCTCCTCATCACCTTACCCCTTCCCAACACCACACTTCCCCCCCCTCCAACCAAGTCACCATGGCCACCGGTACTACCACCACCGCCCGTGAACATCTCCTGGTGGTGCGGAGGCGCAGCCCACACATGCGTTACACGCTGAGCCCGGAAAACCTCCGCAGCCTTTCAGCACAGGGTGGCTCTGGGAATGGGCGGAACTCTAGAGGAGGAGCTCCTGAACCGATGGGCCTGCAGCGGGCCAACAGTGACACCGACCTGGTGACATCGGATAGCCGTTCCTCCTTAACTGCCTCTACATACCAGTTTACGCTTGGGCGAGGGCAAAACCTGGTCATCTCTTGGGATATCAAGGAGGAGGTGGATGCCACTGACTGGATTGGGCTGTACCACATTGGTAAGATGTTTTGGGGTGTGGGCAATCTCTCTGTTTAAAGTAATTCCTTATTATGGAAGGTAGACTTATATTTACTTACTGTGACTTACTTTTGCATTAATTTTCATCACTGTATCATAGGCTCTTTTTGCAGGTGTTTTTATAATGCTACAATGCATGATTTCTGTGGCACTAACAGAATTACAGAAAATAATAAACACTCCCCCATCCCATCGTTTTGAAAGAACGGGTAGTTCTGGTCAAAACCTACAGCTTTGGTTGATCTAATGTTGTTAATTAAGGATGCTTAAGCAAGCAAATTTCAATTCTGTTTGGAGGTAAAGGTTTGTTGTCTCAAAATAGTATTTTTTTTTGACAACTTGTACAACTTGCATTTGTGTGAACTAGATGTCATGCACACTGCACAGGCCAAAATTACTATGATATACATTCGTTTATATTGTGAAAATAACAGAAATGTTGTTTACATCACACTTTACTTCCATAATTGGATGTATTTCTGAATGAAACTAAGCACCAAAGCAGTACATTGG